CCGGGGGGAACCCCGGCATTTCTTGGGTGGGCTTTTTGGTCCTTAGTTTGTTTTGGAGGGGGAGGTTAGTCCCCCTTTCGAAAGGGGGAAGGGGGGGGGAATTTTTTTGCTGTTTGTCCCGGCCCAGTGGGAAAGGGTGCTCATTGCCTTTTGTGTTGGGGAGAAAGGCCCCCCCTCTTTGGGATTTCATAAAAATTTGTTGGTTCCGGTTGCCCCCCCTTTCCTTTGGGGCCCCCCGGGGAGGGGGGGGGGGGGGGGGCGTTCCGTCCTCGTCTCCCGTAGCCGGCTTCGAAGGCGTGCGCGTTCTCGCGCGGTTTATTCGAATGCCGTCCGTCGGCGGATTTTGCCTTCTTTCGTTGTTTTGCTGTTTCACCTGGCTTTGTCACTTCCAGCCGGTATGCGTGTGTCCCCCCGCCCCAGACCGTCGGCACCAACCGCATCGCAACCCTTGTCATGTATACATGCATCATCCGGTTGGTTTTCCGGTGCTCTATGTCCCGATTCGTCGCCGCAGACCGCATACTCCAACTAGTCTGCGCGCAGACCAAGCCTGTCCAGATCTACCGCATCGCCGTTCGCGACGCTCTCCCGCCCGCGGGTGTCTTCGCCAAGCCGGCCGACAACGGCAACGACGGGGGCCCCGCAGATGATGATAGCAAGGTGGGTGGTGACCCCCCCGTGTCGTCGGCACCCGGGAAGGTTGAGGAGGAGGAGGAGGAGGAGGAAGAGGGGGTTGTGGTGGCGGCAGGTGTCCGTAGGTATGATGATGATGCCGAGGAGGAGGGAGATGTTGACGTCGGCGTCGTCGTGGACAGCGTTGCGGTGAGCAAGGAAGGCGGGGCGGTCGGCGGGGGAGGGGAAAGCGCTCCCAGCTTTGAAAAGGTGTGTCTTGTGTTCTGATGGAGAGAAGAGAAGAGAGAAGGGGAGGGAGGGAGGGAGGGAGAGAGGGAGGGAGGCATACAGACAGAGACGGAGAGAGAGCTGGAGGTGAGGCGAGATGGCTGGTGATGTCACGATGGCTTTTACTGTTCACCTGACGATACGTATTTTGAGCAAGTACATACTTGTATACCTCCTGCCCAGAGGTCGTGGCCACGCCTGTGCATACGAGCATACAAGCAAGCTCCTCCGGCGTTCGCCGTTCTGCCTTTCTCTTCATTCAGAAGCTTGACATGGACATCACCGACGAACCCCTGGGCCTCTCGCCCACGGGAGCGGCGGCGGTAGCTTCGTCGCCGCCCGTGTCGGCATCGCCTCACCCCTCTCCCACCTCCAGCGACGGCGGCGGTAGCCGCAGCAGTAGGACCAGCACCAGCACCAGCACCAGCAGCGCTGACAGCAGCCTCGTGGACGAAGACCGAGTGCTGCCGGCTACGATGGCGTCCAAGCCGACGGCTCCCCCCATCAACCCCGGTTGCGTGTCCTCCTCTGTCGGCACGCCCTCAGGCGTCATGCTCGGCGACGGCGCCGCCGGCGGTGGCGACGCCAATGTCGGCAGTAGCACCACCACCACCACCACCACCACCACCCGGACAACAGCAGCAGGCATGGGCATTCGGGGAGAGGAAGCAGGAGGAGCCGCTGCTGCGACTAGCGCGGGCGGAGCAGACAGTAGCCCTACCGCCACCACCGCCGCGGTGGATGGCCGGGACGGGAAGGATTCGGCGCGGGCGGCGGCGGGCGGGTTGGGGGCGACGGCGAAGGCCCTGACGGCGGCGATGGCGGACGCGCTGAGCGACACTTCGTCGGGAGTCGGCGGCGCCGGCGCCGGCGGACCGAGCCCGGTTCTTGACCCTTCCGCCGCTCCTACCAGCGCAGCCGCTGTCGTGGGGAGCGCTTTCTCCTCCGGCGTCGGCAAGGGTGAAGGCACGTCGTCGTCGTCTTCCGATGCCTCGAAGCGAGGCGGGATACCGTCGCCGATGATGTTGGGGGAGAGCGCCGGCGGCGCCGGCGGCGGTGGCGGGGAAGACCGAGGCGGCGCGCTGTGGGCGGCGGCAGTGGAGGCGGAGATCGCGTCTGCTGAGATGTCGTCTTCGACGACGATGGCGGCGGCGGCGCCGCGTGAGAGGGTGGCCACGGAGGAGCTCAGGCGTTTCTTGGCTCCTGGGGACGTCGGAGGACTGGGTGCGGCGTCGGGTGCTGCGGTTGCGGCTGCCGCTGCCGCTGCTGCTGCTGCTGCTGCTGCTGAGGCAGAGACTGAGACTGAGGAGGAGAACGAGGACGAGGACGACGGCGACAGAGAGTCTTCAGAGGACTTCGGATTGGAGGACGGAGAGCAGAGGTTTGTGGGGCGGGCAGAGACACGACTGGGTTGGGTTGTTTGTAGTGGGCATCTGCGGTGCTGTTGATGCTGTCATGGTGTGGCACGGTTTTCTGCAAGGTCACTTGGTGCCATGCTGACTCTCCAAGCTCCCCCGCGGCGTCCATGTCCATGCATGTGTTCGTCCCATTTATTCTGGCGCCAGTCTACTCATCTTCGGTGTACAACACATGTTTGATGTATCAGCCGGTGTCACACACTGCATCTTCTTTATTTGTCATTTTTCATGTGTTGTTTTGTTTTTCATCCCCCACCTTTCCTCCTGCTGTGCTTTCCTCAATCTTCATGTGTTACCCCCCCCGACACATTTCCGCTAAACTACTCGAACTGCTGCGTTTCGCCCGCCTGCTTGGCCTTCCTCCCCCTTGCACGATCGATCCCCACCGTCCCCCCCCCCCCTCCCCCAACAGCGTCTCCGTCTCCGTCTCGGAAGAACGCCAAGAAGTCGGCGCCACTACTACCGAAGAGGCCACATCCTTTGCCGCTGCCGCAGACGGGGGTGGCCTGGGAGGCGGCGGCGGCGGCGGCGGCGGCGGTCAGGCCACCGGCGGCGGTGGAGGCATGCTCTACAGCAGCAGCGGAGAGCAGAGCATGGGCGCGTCTCGCCGACAAGGAGGCGGGGAGGGAGTGAGGAGTGGTGGCGGTGGTGGTGGTGGGTGGGTCGGAAGGGGAGGCGAGGACGGAGCCGGAGAGCCCTCGGCCAGCGGGTCCTTTAGTGTAGCTGTAGCTTCTGCGCACGGGGACGCTTCCGGTGGCTCGGGGTCTTCGGTGGCGGCGGCGGCGGCGGCGGCGGCGGCGGCGGCGGTGCCCCCGCCGGCGATGCAACAGCAGCACCAGATGGCTAGGTGTGTTGTGGTTTTGGAGCGGTCTCGGTATCTTTCGTGAAGTGGCAGATCTCTCGTTGCTTCGCTGCGAGCACCTCAGGTTTGGCGGTCACACCCGCTTTGTGGCCGCCACCGTGCCTTACTTAACCCCCAAGCGCACCCTCTATGCGACGTCGCCGAATACCTCACGGCGCTTAGCGCTTGGTGATGTGAGAACCTGGTCCGGTGAGAACCCGGCGTGCTCCGTCCCGGCTTTGTAGGGATGCGAGGTCAACAGTCTAACGACTACGGCATGCACGACTATGAGTACACCCCCCCCCCCTCCCCCGCAGGCATTATTATGATGCGACGTCTGTGGTCGAACGACAACGGCATTCGTTTACATGAGTCCCCCCCCCCCCTCTCGTGCCTACTTTCACCCGACTCTGAACGACAGCACGCACCGCCGGGAGGCCGACACGAGCGCCGGAGCGTCGCCCATCCCCATGGTGCCCCGTCATCACCCCCTTGTCACCGGCAGCCCTTCGGGGGAGAGTGCTGGCGCTGCGTCGCAACAGCAACACGAGCAGCAGCAACCGTCATCGCCGCCGCTTCCGCCCCCGCCGGCGGTAGACTCGGTGGTAGCGGCGGTGTTGGACCCCACCGCCGGTGGCGAGGCCAGCAGGGACGGCGGGGCGGCGGTACGTAAAGTTGGTTGTGGTTTGACAGCGCGATCCTGGTTGTTTGGGAGGGGAACGGGGGCGTGAAGATTGAGTACTTCACGAATAGAGAGCGGAGTAAGATGACCTTAACTGTTAGTGGTTTGGCTGGTTGTGTTTTCATGGTGATCATCTTGTTTAGGGGATAGCTGAGGCGATTATATAGGCAGGTCTTTCTCTCCCTCTTTCTCTGTGGGCGCGCCCGTTGGTGCTTTATCCTCTTGCCCATCCCCCCGCCTCCATTATTCCGCCGCATTGGTTCGTGCTATCACGCCGAAACGAAACCGAACCTCTGCAGAGATCGGTAGGCCGGCCGATCCCAGGCGTCAACGTGGACGAGTCGGCCACGCAAGCCCTCCGCTCGCTGCTCATGAGGGGCGGGAACAGGGGCGGAGGTCGCAGCGGTGGGGGTGGAAGCGCCTCCGGAGAGGGGGAAGAAAGTCGACGTTGGTCGAGCGGGGAGATGGCGGGCGGCGGCGGCGGTGGCGGCGGCGGTGGCGGCGGCGGGGGCGGCGGCGGATCGTCGACTGAAGGAGCGGGGGGGATCATGCAGTCGGTAGCACTCCCAAGGTAATACGTTTTGCGGATAGTGTAGGACCGGGAGTAGTAGCATCGTACACGCACGTTGGTTCCTACTGGATTCCTGGTGCGCGAAGGTCAGGCGGGGGGAGGGGAGATGAAACGGGGGCGAAATCTGCCCTGGTTTATGCGGTGGGTACGGCATGGTACAGCGGTACACGCTCCCCTTCCATGATACCCTCCCTCCTGGCTGGCGGCGGTGGCCGAGAATCCAGTAGGAGGTAAGAACATCCTCGGAGCGGCTCTTGCCTCACCCCCGTCCCTCACACGCCTGTCTTTGATATTCGTGGTCTCAAAAACAGGGCCGATGCCGAGGGAGCGGGGGCAGGCCTAGCGAGGCCGCCAAACCCGGCGACAGACGATACGAGATTATTCTTGGCGTCCCTGCTGGAGAATCCCAACGACAACAGCACGCGCGCTTCCTCGTCCCGTTCCGCGGCCGGTTCCGCCATGTCCGCGTCCTCCTCAACGTCGGCTGCATTGGCGGTCGGAGGGGGCCCCGTGGTTACCCTGCCCCCCCCGGCGCTCTCCCCCGCCGGCGACGCCGGCGGACCGGGAGCCTCTATCTTGCCGGCAGCGTCACTGCCGGGCGTTGTGCCCTCTCTGCCCGAAATGAGATCCGTGCCGTCGACCAGCCTCTCTGTGGGGCATACCCCCAGAAACGCCGTCCTGCCGCCGCCTGCCACCGGCGGTGGCGGCGGTGGCGGCACTAGCCTGTTCTACAGCACATCTATGGCGGAGGTCACCGCCGGCGCCCCCACCGGGGCCCCCGTCGTGAGCGGCTCGGGCTCGGTGTTGGTGACGCCCACGGCGCAGGCGCCGCCCCTGGCGCCGCCAGGCATGGTCCCGAGACAGCAGCAGCAGCAGCAGCCGCGGGCGTCTCGTGGGTTTGATGCGGTCGACGCCGGTATTGGACGGGCCGGGGGGGGCGGCGCTGTGGCTGGAGGGATGGATACGGAGGAACTTATCGAGGCGATCACCGCCAGAGTCAACGCGGTGAGCCGTTGTGTGTGTGTGTGTGTGTGTGTGTGTTGCAGGAGGGGCCCGTATCGGGACCGCCTTCGCGAAAGTTTTTTCTGTTAGTGTATGAAATGGAGAGGGAGGGTTCGCATGCTTATCCCTACCCCCATCCCCACCCCGTACCCCCTACTAAAACCAATATTAATATCTCCTGCGAAGACTTATCCTTCCGGAGGCTACTGCTGCTGTAGTGTCTTGCGTGCAGATACAGTGCCTGAATTGTGTCGGCCGGGTTATGAAGCAGTGCTGGCCTTCTCTAAAGCCTGTTTCTTCGTGTCTTGTCGTGTTGCCCATGGGTCTATCGTTCTTGTTTTAAAATTTTCGTGTGCTATTTGTTACATCAGGACATGGCTGCGAGGATGTCCGGGCTGCAGTCGTCGCTGGAGCAGAGCGTGGCTTCCTGCTGCAGACGGACCATCTTGGCGTCAACGGCGTCTGCTGAAGGTAGAAAGTACATAATGCTGCCACGTACTAGTTCAGGGTGGATGGTAGTACGTTTAAGATCGAAGGCAAGCACCGCAGGTAGTGGGTCTTGGGGGGTAACCCTTCTGTGTGACCACGGATTGAAGAAACTTGGCAGAATTGAGGCTACCTGGCAGAACGGCTGTGAACGCTGATTTGAAGCGATTAAAAAAGAAGAAATGTGTGTTGTTGTAGGTGAAGGACATGCCAGCGCTGGCGGCCTGGGCGGTGAAGCCTACCGAGCTGTCTGCGTTTTGATATTCCCGTTCTGGACTGACCAGCCGCGACCACTGTGGGGTTGGACGATACAACAACGGTGGGATGATCGTACGCCCAACTCAAAACACCGAATCGTTGATTTGTGCCTTTTGTTTGCAAAGTCACCGGCCAACCTCTACGTTATTCGTGACAAGACTCGTAAGGAGAGAATATAGAGAGAGGAAACGACCAACACGTCAAGCCTTCTCTACGTGTCATAAAACGACGAATGATCACTCACTATCATGGTTTGTGCTTTGGTTGATGTCAGACACGAGAGCCAACGAGCGCGCGGCGCTAGTGGGAGACATCTCTTCGTCCGTGGACCGCAGCGTGAGGAGGGGCATGGTGGAGACGGTGGCGACCCCCCTCGCGAAGCTGGTGGTCAGCACCGCGCGCCAGGTCGTGGTCGACCCTCTACAGGTGTGCGCTTGTGGTGTGGTATTTTTTATTTTCCTTACAAGGAACATGACAAATCCATCTCTCCCACAGGTAAGATTACCGGGTAGATTAGCAATGATTTTGTAGTGTTGCACGGTGACATACAGCGATATCTCCCCTGTGGGTAACACGCTCCGCACAGAAAGTTAGGTGGGCATTTTGTGTATCTGGTGGTGTGCTCGTTTCGCGTGTGTTTTGCTTTGAGGTCGTCGACCATCGCGCCAAGGGCGACACATACCATAGGCGACACGAGATGCCACACTCTTTTGATCGATTTTGTTAAAAGCTCCATTGTTCCGCGACGAAGAGGATGGTATGAATCAAACGACGTGTTTTCGGAAAGTTCTCGACGAGACGGTGGCGGCACGCTAGTTTGCGGCACCGCCTCTCTTTCTGCTCTGGCGAAATCCAGCTCAAATAGTCCGTCATGGCGGTGTGGCATCTTATGTCACCTACCTAACGTGGTTCGGCAGTGAGAAGGCTCAAGTCCAAGGGCGAGACGCGGTCGTAAGTCTTTTGTCTCAGCGTGTGTTTGTCTGTGCGAGCTTTTTGGGGCCGTATTTTACCGTGGGAGTTTGCGGTGCGTCTTGTACTGGCGATGGGGAGAGAGATTTCTCACTCGTTTTGGCCAACCGCGCGCGCGATCGAAACCTCTCGTTTGTGTCGGAACCCCACAAGCCGTATGCAATACAACGCTACGGGTACACGAAGCAGCAGACCGGCATGGTCAGACGTCCTCTCTCTGCCTATTATTTGAATGGTTGATGGATGCAATGTCGCAACGAACGACCCCCCTCGCCCCCTCGAGTCAATGGTCTAACGGCTACGGCATGTACACCCCCACCCCTCCACCCCCACCGGTTGCGTACCCATGGGCCGAATCGTACCCGCGTAGGCGTCCATGTCCACCATGCATGGCCACCAGCAGAGGCAACAACAAGCACTGGCGGCGGCCGCGGCTGCGGGTGCCCAGGCGGGCGTGCAGTCGCAGGTAAATCGAGAGCATCGGTAGGGCTAGAGGGTCAGAACAACTGGTTGAAACGCGCTTTGTCCTGCATGCAATTCATAGGTCCCGCGGAGAGAGAGATGGACGGCGTGTTTGGGCCGCACGTTTTCCCAGTCTTGGCTGCATCATAAGCTGGTGTCTGGTGTTATTCTGTTGTCGGTAAATCGCTCGAACCTAAGGCCGGGTGTCAAAACGCGAACCTTCATGCCACTCAACACAATCGGTTTCATCCAGCTTTTTTGGGTTTAGTAGCGCACGCCTGTCCCGCGAAAACACACACATGCATAGCTGTCCTCCTATCCATTAAGGCGGGAGACAAACAATGCAGTGATCGCTCGTCCTGTTGATGATGCGCCCGATTTCGGTTGCAAGCTGTTATTTTCTGTCGCGGGGCTATGACCCGAAGATTCGTGGTAATTAGGCACAAGCACCCCTGCCGCTGGCTGCTTCGGTCGGCATGGGTTGCGGCAACGAACTGGCTGGATTCCGTCGTTGCAGATGCCCCCAAGTGCTTGTTGCTCCATTCTGGGCGTCTCCTTGACTTGTTGTCATCGCTCACCGTAGGTGGTCGTTGACGAGACGGCAACGAGCCAGTCAGTTCAGAGGTACCGTATGTAGCAGTGCGAGCTATCGCACGCCCCCCAGACCAACCTTCAAAGCTCGATTGCCCCAAAACAAGGGCACCATACCAAAACCGACCGATGTTTTACGTGCTAGGAAAGGTAGCTCTCGACAAGATACATATGTCCAAGCTATCCCTTTCTCGGCATTGCTCCGCCTCTTGTGGAGCCAATCGAGCTGCGAACCTCGGTCTAGGGAACGCGCGGTAACTCAAAACACTCTGTACGGTTATCGCTGGAAAGCAATGCAAGCCTGTCGAAGGCGTACGTCGCCCCCACCGACTTGCCCGCACGACCTGAATGCTGTTTTCCATCCCGCGTTGTTCGTGTTTCGACAGGCGGCTGGGATGGCGACGGCGACCGCTCGAGCCCAGGCAGGCAATGTCCGGCGGGAGTTGCTAGAGAGCCGGGAAGACCTGTCGAGGGACATTTCGAGGTCCGTGGCTTCGGCTGTTCAGGAGCCCGTCGGGGTGGCGTTCCGCGAGTGCTTCGAGGGGCAGCTCATCCCCAGGATCCAGGTAAAGCGACACGGCTTGCACCTCAGTAGTTTTATCGTGTTATTGGGTAGCATTCCTAAGGGGAATGGTTTCACAGAACGTCAACGCTCTCGCTGCTGATTGGTTGGGTTTATTCGTCCAGTTTTGACGAAGAACCAATGGTGGTTACGGCTGTTTTTTTGAGTTCGTGTGTCTACGTCGTGATAGAGATCCTAATCCGCTTGAATGCCTTAGGAACAGCAGCCACTCCCAGCACCTGAGAGCTAGGTTACAGCGGAAAAATAAACTCGCGTGAAGGAAATAGCGTTTCAGCTTTAGTAGCGGCGAACAAGCACTTGTCAGCTGCTGCTGGTGCTTCCATGTGTTTTTGTGCTGAGCGCGATGGTGGTGGGTGTGGAAGTCTTACACGACACCATGTCTCGTGGTCTCGTGTACCTGTCGCTCATCGCCGCTGATGGTAGTCTTGGCTACTCGTACAACATCATGCTAAAAATATACCTTAACCTTTCGCAAGGAGAAAACCGATGAAGACAACGCACCACTCTCAACTGGTTTTCTCCTCCCCGCTTCAATTTCCGTCTACATCTCACTTGTTCATCTTCTCCCTGCCCTTTTTGGCACGAAGACGAAACACCAAAGTAGAGACGCACCCGTTCTTTCTCACACATGTTCTCGGGTGCACGACCAAGTTCTCACCCAGCACTGCCGCTCGCCCCCCCCTTGTGTGTCGTCGGGCTGAGCTCGCAACAGTTTCAATTGCACCCAGGAGCCTAATTCTGCCTGATTTTCTCTCTCTTGCTCTGTCTCTGTCCGTCTCTTGCCTCTCTTTCCGTCTGTGCTTCTCTGTCTCTGTCCGTCTATCTATCTGTCTGGCTCTCTCTCTCTCTCTCTCTCTCTCTCTCTCTCTCTCTCTCTCTCTCTCCCTCGTCTTTCTCTCCCCCCCCCCCCCCCCCTCCCCCGTTTCCAGGTGTTGCCCAAAAAAAAACAAACACCAAAAAGGGGGGGCACGCAAGTTTCAAAAAAAAAAAAAATTCCCCCCCCGGGGGGTTCCGGGCTCTTTTCTTTGTAAAAA